TTACACTTTTACAACTCAGTAACTAGATAGAGGACACCAGCAAAACGCAGACCTACTGGTATCAAATCGGTGATTAGTTATTAGATAATGAATCGTATCTGTTTACTTAAAGCTGATCTTACAAGAAAGTTTTAAAAAATTTTAATTATAGATTATCTTGAGGTGATTAGCTTCTAAAACAGAGAACCAATGGGTCTAAGGTATTTTTAGAGGTAAGATTCACGTTTTTTTCCTTAACTTATGTTTAATGTATATATAATTCTTATCGACAGCGATTAACTTACTCAAGGATATGTAAGTTACCGCTGAAGCCTATGGTAAATACTAATAAGATAGCGTACATGCAGACCAGCACGAAGCTAAGTGCATTTTTCATTCATATTTTTAGGTCATGGAATTAATCCTTCCAAAGGTTCACCTACGGCAATTTTGTTATGTCGAGCGAGAAAACCACTACAACGACCTCACTAAACCATTTAATCGGTAATGACGGGCGGTCTGTACAAAGGACAGCAACGTATTCAGTGCAACCTTATGACTTGCACTTACACGGAATTCCTCATCCACGGGGAATAATTGCAAACCCTGACGGTGACGAAGCAATTTACCAAACTATTTCGGATCAGGACTCCAAACTCGCTGGCTACGTCATTGTGGCGCACCTGGAGCCCGGACACTTAAGAGCAACACAGACCCGTTATTGTTCGATTTCGTGCAACCTAAGTGTGTCTTGTTATTTCAGTTGAAACAATTTCGTAGTCTTAGGCGTATATTTGTAAAATGCGCATACGTCAAGTTTCGAAACGTTAGGTAACATGATTCACAATTGTTTACAATGACGCTAATACATTCACTTATCTCGATATTTTGCTATTAATTTATTTTATAATGATATGTTTCGCCATATATGTACGTGTAAACAACCTCGTTGAGGTTCGCGTTATCATCGTGACCAATCTCTAGAGACCTTGAATGATATGTCTCAAAATCTTTCGCAATGGCTTACGCGTATTTACTCATTTTTCCTTATATTTTAATTTCTTCATAGATATTTTTGCTCTCACTAATTTGTAACTTTTTAATAATTAAATTCATGAGTCGATTCAAGCTAGACCACCATGGAAAATCTGGAAGCACTGGATGGCCGTTTCGTCCTAGGATAGGACTTCTCGGCAGTGCGCATCGACGATCCTGCCTCGCCAGATTCGAATCCAGGACCTATCAGTTTTGCGCGTGAACGCTTAAACTGTAGATCACTGAGCCGGTTGGCATTCAACGATGTTAATGTCTAACTTTAATCAATTCACGAAATGGCACCACCGTCCACTTTTTCTATAATTATATCTTGGATGCTTAATCTTTTCTATTATTAGAACTTCTGTCGATCTGTGCAAACACTTTCATCTCGCTGTACTATAAAATACACCAACCCGAACTGATGTAGACGTGTTACATTTTAAATTGCTTGAATTGATGTACATACACATACGAAGTTCTACGTTATTACCGACAATCCATAGTCGGATATAAGCTCTTAATCCTAAAAGGTTATTAATCATTTTGTCACATATATCCTTACATAGTACAATCAACATCATATCATAGAAATAATTCCATCATATCATAATATTGAAAAGAAGAGGAACAAAAAAAAAAAACAACCCGCAAAAAACATTAGCCTGAATTGCATCAAATTACAACAGAAAGAAAAAAAATTTTTTTTGTATCTAACATGTATACATACAGATGTGAATGTGTAAAGGGGAAAAACACCCTTTTTTCGTTTTTTGTTCGAAACAAAAAAAAAGAAAAGAAAAACAAACAGGTTACACATAGAAACCTTCCTATCAAACTTATCAGTAATCATTATTAATAAATTATTATGAATATAAGGGAATGACAATCAATTGAAAGGATATGAAAAATAATAATAAGCTTTTATGCAACAGAAAGAAATAAGCAGGCACAATATCGCCATTATACACATATAAATCATTCTATTATAAGCTTATGCTTTGAAGAATTTTATATATCATGTAATTACTATCATTTAAGTAGTATTAGTAGTAGTAGTAATATCAACAACATAATTAGTTATACATTCAAATCAAAATTTAGCATCATATGTTCATTTGTCAATCATATGAAAACATGTTATATCAAGTGTTAGAATAATGATTTGAAAAAGGAATATAAAATTATTGAAGAAAAGAAAAGGAAGCAAAAGTCGAATGAGTACAATCGAATAAATATACATATGCATAAACACTTTGTATGACATCATTGTCATACATTTCTACTTAAAGGTGAGAATAATGTAATAAAATATTAAGAGAATAGAAGTTAAATTTATTGGAAGCGCTTGTTCACTACTGCTACTACTACTACTAATACTACCATTCAAACTTTCACTTTATCATATGGTAGATATTCATGGTCAAAATGATTTATTCTATACTTTCTTTTGTATTAGGAAATGAGTGACAACGCTTACCATTGATAATGTCGTTAGAAGAGGTATAAGTGTGTAAAGATCAAGAACGGTCGATTGTTGTAAACAATGAGAATCATAGTAGACAAACCTTTGTGCACTTTTTAAAAAAAAACAAATATAAGAACACTTGTTTTATTGTATACGGTGAGAAGAAGCCAAGGAGAAGCACACACACACACACAATAATACATAAATATAAATACAGATGAGTGCACTTAAGTTTATGTATTGGTTACAATACAAATTAAAATGATGATAAACATTACGCTACACATATGCAACGAAAAAGAATTTTTTTAAAAAGGAGAAGTGAACAAGGAGAAAAATTGAAGAAGAAGAAGAAGAAGAAGAAAAACAATAAGATACAGCAAGACAAAATCATTCGAAAGTAATATGTATGTATTATGTAGCAGCTATAAGCGCAACGACAAATATACATAAAAGAGAAAGGATTCACCAATACAACTTAACTAATTTAACTATCATAAAATTGAAAGGGATTGTTGAATAATAATAAAAAAGAGATTTTATATTTTGTATGTCTATGAATGAGAAGTGAAAAATCCACTACCTAGCCATGTACAGAATTCAAACAATAAAACTATGTACAGGCACATGAATATATATATTAACCAATATAATTATGGAATTTCAATATTGGTCACAATTGGATCCTGGGATAAAGGAAGAGATTGTATATGCATAGCAATATCAGCGCCGGCAATACACAATAGTTCTTTCATCAATTCCTTTTTCTTTTAAATGTTCTTCTTTTCTTCATAATGAGCCATAGAGATAAGATTCATTTATGAAAGCATAAAATGATTTAGAACAATAACAATATAATAATGATAACTTTTTGAGAGAGAGAGAGAGAAATGAAGGAAACAATAATAACATGACTGAATTCACTATCCTTAAAGAAAACGGTTAAACAATATGGGTGCATATATATAAAAAAAGTGTATTATTGAGAGAATTGTCAATCGGTTAAAAGAAAGAAAGAAAGAGAATAAAATACAAAAACAAAACAACATCCTCTCGTTAGACAAGATACTACTGAAAAAAAATGAAATGTAGTCGTTTCTATGCTCAGAAAATATTGTGTAACATATTACAAAAGAAAAACACACAAAAAATAATACAAGCGTAGAACAAAGACATAGGATTACACAATTATAATAATAATAATAAACAATGGTAGTCAAAATAATATTCAAGATTAATGTTTGTTTGTTTGTTAATGTGTGTGCGTGCGTGTGTGTATGAGTGAGTACGCACACACACACACACTTTAAGAACGCCTAAACAGAAAAAGAAAGGAAAAGAATAGTTCTTTGTAATTACACGTTTTTTTGTATTTTTATCTATACTTAATTCTTCGGTAATGAACAATGAAACTTTACACATAGGTCATATTAGATGTTTGAATGTGTTGGAATTATGACGTAACAAGAAAAACACATACAAAGAAAGGGAGAGAGAGAGAAGGGGGAAGAAAGAAAAAGAAAAAAACGAGAAAAATTAAAACTGGAGAAATAGAAGCGGTCATTCTTTCATATTATAAACTCTCTCATTTAATGTTCATCTATCTTTTATATGTACATGTTGTATAGAATAATAATGAGAGAATAATGAAAAAGGCCACTTTGAAAGACACAACTCTAATAGGGGTAATGATGTATTTGTGTATAAATGATAAATGGGTACACAAAAAAAAACACCAACACTATTTCACCGATCTCTATGAAAAGAAAGAAAGAAAGAAAGAAGGGAAAAACAACTCGATATCATTATTACATCATCCATACACGTAGATTATACAAAAATGAGAAGCCGTCTGGTAAAGAAAACAAAAAAAGAAGAAAAACAACACAAACGGATAAAGAAATAATTCATTATCAAAAAGACTTATTACTTGAGATAAAATAAAATCAAGAAAAAAAAGGGGGAAGGGGGGAGAGCAACACAATAAATAGATAAATCCTGAGATTTTTATTTTTAGCAAAAAAAAAGTTTATGTATCCAATGAATTTTTATCCGGTCATTATTAACTGTCTTATCCAATATATCGGTGGTTACTACATTGTTGTTACCAGTAGTAGTAGTAGTATCCAGTAAATGCCAAAACGACAACATAAAAGTGAGGAGGCCAGTACACGACATGAAATAATTCATTATACGACACGATTATGTCACAATTATAGGTATTGTGATGTGAAAAAAGAAATACGAAAGGAACAAAACGAGAGAAAGGCGAAGCAAATATCATGTGTACAAACACATATACATTATTATAATACAATAGTAGCTATAGCAACAATAATAATCATAATAATACACCGTTCAAATTAATCAACGGAAAATATCAAAATGTATCAAAGCAATTATAACACACTGGAATTACATACATTTATAAACACACATACAAACATGAGTATCATCGTCGTTACCATAACTCTTTTCTGGATGAGACAGACACGGATACCAGATGATAATAAAAATACTAGATAAACTGAGATCGAAGACGTCGATTTTTAGACCGTTGACCAAAGCAGCCACAACAACTATATACATTAAAAAAAAGAAAAATATAATGTTTTCATTGCCAGTAATGTTACGTACACAGACAAGGAATAGAATAATAATAATAACTGATAAATAAATAAGTTACAATAGTGACAATCATAATGATAACAATAATGGTAATAATAACAATCATTATGCCCCCAGTAATGATTAACTTCAATAGGCAACTTCTGGAGTTCTAGTGAGAAACCATGACTAGTGCAGCTCAACCATATTGAGTGTACGACAGTCATCTTCCACAGTCAATGGAACAAGGTTAAGCAACATCGTGGGTTAATTGAAGTTACACAGTAATACTTTTGGATGCTGACTCAGTGGTGTAGATGTTGAGAGCTCACGCATAAGACCGAAGGTTGTAGGTTCGATTCTCAGATGTGTGGTCATAGTTAGGAGTCCCATACTTGGACGGAATGGTCATCTAGCGCTCAAACATTTCCGAAAGAGGACTAGCTAAAATCAGTTGGTGAACTACCTCCAAATGCGCTGGAACGACAGAAGGTGAGGAAAGTTCGCACTCCTCCAAATGTTATCTTATGGTCACACATATATAGCCGCTGCCAAGCTAGTCCTAATCACTGCCTTCTTGAGAAGGGGCTGCTGTTCATTAAATTGAGAGGATGAAAAAGCGAATTTGCGGCACCTTAAATCGGATGTTAGACATGAAGTATCCATCTAGAGAGGTTGGAAAACCCTAATTCCAAATCAATGGTGAACATTGACTACCACAATCCTGAGGGAACAAATGGAGTACGAACCCCAATCTTGATCACAGACTACCATGTAATCGCATCTCACAATGATGCTACACTGTCTTGTGGATAAGACCTCTATGTTAAAGCCTCAGGGATACATAGATTTTGACATCTTAGTAGTATTCCACACCTCATATAAATTTAGTGATTTGTATGACGTATATATATTTTGGTGCCCACTTGCCTTTTTCATGAGGGGAGGGGTTCTGTCATATCAAAATAAATAAATAAACTGAGAGATGAAGACAAAGATACGCATCTTTGTCTGAATGAGTCAGCAATCCCGTTGCCTATTGAATAAAAAATAATTCCCAACTTACTCTATGTAATTTTAAATTTTACCATGATATTAGCATTTATTCTGTCCTAAAATGCACAATGGTATGGAAACGTGTATGATAAATATTTCAAAAGATTATACGAACACATCATACATAAAGTGCTGAGGAGTTCCATAATAGGATGGAACGACCGTCCAGTGCTTCCAGGTTTTCCATGGTGGTCTAGCTTCAATTGACTCATGATTTCAACCGTTGAAATAAAGCGATAAGTTTAATAGTAACTCATTTTATTTCGAATAAGTGGAAGAGATGAGATTTTCAGTTGATTAAATAAACTTTCTGTAACAATATCGATGTTAAACGTGAAATATTAACTAAGAAGAGGAATGTAGATGAACTAACACAAAAAGGACTACAAATTTGTGAACAAAACAAATAGGAAAATTATCTCAAACCCATACACACATAGTGTTTAAGTCATTAGTATAAAAATTAAGTGTTTTGGAACTAAAGATTATTCTAAATTATGGGACCCTCCTTCCAACTCTCTTCTCAAGAAAGAAAACATTGCAAACTTACCCTGATTGACTTTGTATATCATCTTGTTCAGCACCAACTACATTTTCAGGTGATGATTCTGTTGTTGTCATGCCAACTCCCATGCCTAAATTGTCATCAATATCTCGAGCCATAGTTTCTTCTGGACCACTATATAAACCGGTTATATTCCGAATATGTGTACCACCGGCGTTTGTACCGGATACAGCACCACCGCCACCATATGGCAAACCACTAGAGTTTGAAGTGGGCATAGCACCACCAACACCAACACCAGTAGGTCCAACATCATCTACAATACCGTCATTAGGTGAACCAATTTTATTAGCACCAAGAAGACCGGTATGCATAATAGTTTGATTTGTTGTTTGCTAATAAAAAAAATCAGATGAATGCATACAATAATGAAAAATTTTAATGGATGTACACTTTGGAAGTAAACAAAATTAACAACATTTTAATGTAAATTTTAATATATATGTATAAACTAACCTGACCAAAATAGGAAGGTAAATATTCATCAACTTTATATCTTAATTCATTTGGTGATGTACCTCCATCTTCATTGATATAACTAGGTACATTATTTGATTGTCCAGTAGGTGGCCAATGAGATGTACCAGGATCTAATAAAGGTGTTCCAGTTAATCCCATTGCATGATGCCCACCATTAACACCAGGACTTTGTTGATTACCATTCACTGGATGATGAGTAGGAGAAGTAAGTCCAGACGTGTTTTGTACACCATTATTCATACAACTAGCATTCCCAGCAGGAACGTTAGTTAAGGGTGGATTTACTGCCTGTCCACCAGATGTATGTGTAGATCCTGGAGGCTAAAACCCATAAAGAAGATGAATAACAACAATGGTAAATGATACATTATTAAATATTGAATAGTAAGAAAACTTCAAAATATGTTGAAGACCGTCCGATTAATGACTCTCATTATTATATTCATAAATGAATTTCGATGCAGATAGAAACTCGTCCGACAAATTAATGATACAAACCAGTCATTGTGTTATAACGCTCGGTTTTCCATGTCTACACGAATAGGATGTTAATTTGCCGTAGACGAATATCTACACTAGATTCCGTTCCAGTGTCTATACCGCAGGACCTCAACACAACTCAGATCAAGAACACGTGATTAGCCTGGCTAGAACGTAAATATATTTCCACACCAAAAACCGACAACAATCAGACACAATCCAATAACAATCACGGTGATAATAAGGGTAAAGTAATGTATAACTCATTTAGTACCTGTCAGACTGTCTATAATTCTAACTAAGCAAACAACCAATCATTATCATCCTCATCCACACATCAATCGGTGAAATAAGAATGCTTTTTATCAGTGTTTATCAAGTTAGATGATTATAGTTAAAAATGAATATAGAGAGTGCAAATACGAACCGTAACATGACAAGTTGTATTTGAGATGATTTAAAGGGGGAACCAGTGTTACTATGTAACTTCAATTAATTCCCAACGTTGCTTAACCTTGTACTATTAACTGTGGAGGATGACTGTCGTACACTCAATATGGTTGAGCTGCACTAGTCACGGTGTCTCACTAGAACTCCAGAAGTTGCCTATTGAAGTTAGTCAGCTGTCGTTTAAAGTTTAAGTGTTTATACACAAGACTGAAGGTCGTGGGTGTGCGTGGCTAAGACGTCCCATTTTGGAATGAACGCCCTTCTAATACTCCCAGGTTTTTAATAATAGTCTAACTACAACTAGTTCATGATTTCAATTATGAAATTTATTTGTTATATATTCCTGAAAACCAGTAGAAAAGTATAGTTCTCTAATTGTAAACATGAGGTAAGAGGTAACAAAACCTGTAGCCTGTTAGTCTCAACTAAGTAGTGTAGACATCCTCATACATTCACGTTCAATAGTTAGTAATTCTATGAAATAATAATATGTCTCAATAAGATGTGACCTCAACCTTCTTCCAACCTACTTCTCCTATGATGGACAACTTCTCCGGTTTGAGGAGATATGAGCAATAATATCCCAACAAATTCAATTGATGAAAATTGTCCTGCCTAATAAATAGACTAACCAATTTATACCTAGAATTGAGCGTTACTTTTCTGATTGTTTGGTCAAGCATGATGAATGCTTTAAAGATATCTATGATACAAATAATAGCAACTTGCATATACTTCCGAAGATCTAAGATCAATTTTCACATTCACTAAGTCATACAAAGCGAATTGCTGTGTGACAATACTTGTGCTATGGTAGGTACACGGGTGTCTCGAACTTGTCACCGATGGCACCCAATGTATGTCGTCAGTCAATGACCCAAACTCTCATCAGTTAAGCCGGAAAAGTGGACAGGTTAACTAATTTTAAAGAATTTCAATTAGCTACTAATGTTACCAATAATGAGTTTAGGTCTTAACCTTATCTCTATTTTTAATTTAAGTAGTTTGATAGTATGAACAATCTATACACAAAATAATTTAATCATGGCATCTACAGGATAGAATTCTGACATATTATCAGCAATTTTAGTAAATATAATAACCCTATTCAATTACAATTGATACATACGTATGAACATTTACTAATCCCTATTAAAGATGATGACATTCACCGGATGAAATGAACTATGCGTTAACCGGTCTAGTGCAAGTTATTCATCCGAAACGAAATAGTCATTTATAGGTACTTTCTAAAAGTAAGCAAAGATACTCTAACATTTATTGTTAGATGCTTGGTGGTAGTTGAATTGTAAACAGAACAGTTTAGTGGTAACGTCTCAATATGTGAAACTGAGAGAGAAGATTGCGAATCTCACAAGGAATATCAGCTCCCTAAAGATTCTAGGTACGCCATGCTAACGGGCACCAAACCTACATCCGGAGTCTCCTGTCGAGTACTTTTAATCGAGCCACTCAAGTTTTTGACTACATTACAACTAGCTTGATCGAATTTGATCAGCACTTAAAGACCAGAAAAACTGAACATTGATCATAACTTAGTAACTAATCAATTCTAACATTCAATATATACATATATAGTTTACTTTAGATCCAGGTAACGGTCGACTGCACCAATCGAATTCCCAATCACATTCCCAACCTTTTCTTTGCATTAAATCAGTAAATCCCCAACGTAAATACTCATAGTTAGGTTCTTCAAAAAAATCTAAACTTCGAACATATCGTAAATAGGTAGCCATTTCTAAAAGAAAACATGAAAAAAAATTGGCATAACATAAAGAAACTATTAACTTGGTAGATAATTGAATTGAATTTGAGTTTTCAAGTGTGTTACAACAACTTTTACACACATATATATAATGAGCAATTACTGAATTATTATTTGAGTAAATATGAATCAATTCATGTGCTTTAAAACTGAGTTACACTTTTGATGTGAAAAAAAAGAGATGAAAGCACAGGAATTTCAACTGTCGGATTGTCACTTTCAACATGGTCTCAACTACATCTTCATTAATTGGTTAGCACAATGAATGATTTTCATTTATTTAAAAACTATAAGAGTTTATGCATTCTGATTTGAGTCAAACTTTAATTGTATGAGGCCTAGTGAAACTACTCGGATGCCTAAATCAATGTATGTCGAGTGGGGTTCGAACTAGTAACCTATAAGTCACTAACAGACAAGTCGTCTAACTGATAAGCCAATGTTCAACAAGATAATACTACAACTAATCTTCACATAAAAATTTCGGTTTGCAACCCCAAAATTTCCTGATACAACTGAGGTGAAGATTTTATATTCAGAAAGATTTTAGGAAGATGTTTTATGCACAGAAATGGACGATTTGATTGTTTTCTAGACAATGGCATAAGTGAATCAACATTAGACTTAGATAAAGCAGCATTACATAAAATGAAATTATCTAAGCGGATAGGTAGTCATTAAAACCATGCTTCTTCTTTAACAAAGCTTATTACTGTCGGTAACATCACCACACTATACATCAAAAAACGAGTCTTTATGGGTTGATGTAGTTAAGACATGCATTATGTATGCAAAACAATCGTCAACCTCCATGCGAGAGTCGAGCTGGTGTGAAAGTAGACAGGAATTAGGCTGAAGATGATTAAACCAAGAGGCGGTGTCCACCCATGAAGGTGGTTTTCTTAGGGGATAAATTCCCCAAGCCTCTGATTTAGAGGTTTCATTCACAAGGCAGTAGAGCAACGTCAGGAGATGCAGTCACATGGTGAACGGTGACCCAAAATTGCTTCATACTCAATCTACTCCCTCAGGATCCTGAAGCTCATGTGTACCATTCGTTTCGAATAAGGGTTTTTCAACTTCCTCTATATTTACCATTCCGTTTAAGGTGATGAACATTCACTTTTCGTCCTATCAATTTTGTGAACAGCATCTCCTTCTCGAGAAGGTAGTGAGCAAGACTAGCTTGGCAGTGGCTATATATGTGTGATCATTTGAGAGGGCGAGCGTAATCTCCTCAACCTCAGACGTACCAAAGAATATAGGGGCTGTAACCAATGGTTGGAGACTTTGAGTGACATGGCTTAAAAACGATTACAACAGCGCAGATTTATTCACTCTTTATCTTCTCTGAGATCACAAATTTGAGAACTTATTTACATTTTCTATTCAGTAAATTCACTCCTTTTCAAATCATAGTGTCTATGATTATTGTTTTTTACTTTAGTTAGTATTGTTACTACTCCTAATACTCTGTGATTGATCTAGATAATTTTATCACACAAAGTGAGAAATTGAACTGATACACATATATCCCGGTTCTAAATTCCTTATAACTGACTAACTGACTGACTAACTTTTATAACATGCTATCATTCGTATCGTAAGTTTAAACCTAGAAGTAAATCAATACTTGGAAACAAATATAAGCTAAGAATAAAAATCGTCAAACAATACTATTAAAAAAACATCCTTGATAAACGTATATTGACGTTTCACCATTATTATTATTATTATTATTATTATTATTATTATTATTATTATTATTATATTTAAGAAAAGAATAATAGTTGACAAGAAAAACCCAAGGAAAGCAACACACTTAGTTGGAATGTCATAAAAAGATCATAGAACACCATGATACATAGGCATAACCTAAACAATTTGATTAGAATGAGAAAAGTGTACAACATTCAGTTTAGCTTTGTACTCGTTCACATCTATCATAGAATAGTAGAAATGAATCATGAAAAAAATATATAAATAATAGAAGGAAAAAATATATTTGAAGATAAGATGACAACGCTTGAATGAATCGTTTGAACAAATAGCGAAGAATAACTATCAGAAAATAAACGATTCTTTGACTAAAAAAATATCTATACATAGATTATTGTTACCACTTCCACATGACTTTCCTACTATGTTCTCACGGCGGGGGGTGTTGCTTACGAAATTGAGAGGATGAAAAGCGAATGTCCTACGCTTCAAATGGGTTGGTGGATACGGAGAGTCAACCTAAATGAGTTGGAAAACCTTCATTCCAAACCAATGGTGCACATGGGCTGGCTGGCGTATGAACCAATCGCTGGTCATCGACTATCATATGACTGCATCTTCTCACGTTGCTTCACTGCTTTTTGGGTCAGACCTTTAGGTTGAAGGCTCAGGATATGGCCTCCTAAGAAAACCACCTGCTTCGGTTTGGACACCTGGACAGCATCCCAGCCCTCACACAAATCGAATGATTTATGTAGCGCATATATATTCCGTGTCTCTGTACTAATGTTCATGTGTGCAAATAAGATAAAAATAAATAACTTTCATATGAACTCCATATTAGACAGGAAGATATCATGATGAAGAAATTTCATTGTAGATTAACATAACATATCAGAAAGAACTCTGCTGTAAGTCATATCAGAACCAACTATTCGGTTATAATGTGAACTGGGTTAGATAACGGTCGAACGAAGATATGACAATAAATCATGAAGTCACTGACTGTTGCTCACAGCTATGTTGATGAATCCAAATTATCCAGTCAGAGACCACACTATAAACTACGATCAATGATTAAAGACTTTAGATGACATATATTTCAGAAAGATTCACAATGGTACAAATCCATTCACTTCTTATCATCTCAATCTGAAATCACAATGCTCCACTATCTTTTTTTCACGAACCATACTTCATTAGTGTTATTACTACTACATTACTTCGATATTTTATTTTTATTATTCATCTTATCATTTTCATCTCGTCATTATAATCCGATATGACAGCTTAAGCCAATACATATTTAGTGAGAGGTTCTATGTTTCCGATACATGTGTCTCAAATCTCTTAGCCATATAATCCTTATGATCTCGGTCAATCTACAGCGAAACGTCATGGACTAATCACCACCACCTAACTTATCGAACCAGTCCCAATAACAATAAACAACAATTCACATAATGCAAGTAGCAAGACTACCACAGTAGAACTGGTAGTTCAGTATAATAACACTCATACAATTTACAAGGGGGTATCAAATACATATGCGCCGTATAAATCATTCAATTTGTACGAGTGCTTGAATACTGCCCGGATGCCTAAACCGAAGCAGGTGGTATTCTTAGGGGGAAACACTCCCTCATACAATTTAGATCTTCATTGTGTTCAAAGACACAATACACGATTTCAATGTGATTTACACGGTATTCCTATCAGATGTCAATAGTCTTACGGAGATAATGATGATGTTTAAAATTGAAATCTTATATTTTTTTCCCTTTATTTAGAACTATTTGAACTGCTGTAGTTTACACCGCTTGTCAAAACATCAAGAAACAAGAAGATTGAAAATGAATAAACTATAATCAATAAGAACTTGTCATTCATTTACCTGCTATTATCACTCCAGTACTATATGTTAAAATAAGAGATATTTAGCAAGAAAAAATGTTAAGCAGCTTTGAATATAGATAAGTGTAGACCTACATGAGTATTACATAATCATTGAATTCTATTATACATTTTAAATATATGTACTAACAAAAGGTATGATTACCTATGAAAAGAAATTATACTATAGTAATAAAACTATATTATATGATATAACATGTCCTATTAATTACATCATTCCAACATGGAAAGACCGTAAACACGCACAAAAAAACATTATCTTATTATATATTTTACCGGGGTAACCATGACATAAAACATCAATAGGAGTTGCACGTTTTGTATCACCAATTTTCTGATAACGTTCACGTAGATTTTCAGCTTTTAAACCTTGCCAAGGTAGACTACCACGTAGAAAATATAAAAACATATGACCTAAGGCCTCTAAATCATCACGTCGAGATTGTTCTGAAAAAAAACAAAAACAACAACAATGAAAAAGGAAACACTAAAATCAAATAAGGATACAATTATGCAATGATGATTCGCAGTAATGCTTGATCGTTCATGAAATATCGATGATAATAATAATAATAATAATATCAACTGAAAAATATTGTACCAGGTTAGTGTAAGCAAATCGGATCGGATTCTATGAATCTAAGGTGACCCATACTGACTTTGACTATTAAATTAAATTAACAAGTATGTAATACTAGTCAGTCAGTTATGCGTAACGTGAAACTTGGTACAAACATGTATTGGTTCAGGTCATCATACCAGATTAAAACGGTAAGATGAAATTATCAAAACAAATACCGGAGTGTTAGTAGTAGTAACAGTATCAGTGATAGAAGAAAACATGGAGTCACTTAAGAAGCAACTTCCTCTTAATGGGCTGACAAAAAACTCATCCAAAATAAAACTCAGTACATATGATAAATGGGAACTGAAGATAATTGGAGAAGGAGACCAAATATACAAATTCATGAACGAAAGCTGTAACGGAATATTTGGAACCACAAAGAAAATGGACAGTTATTAGAAAAAATGATCACACTTCAAGCAAAACCAAAAACAAACGTGACCGGACTCAAAAGTGCGCTCATCGCGTTGAAAACCTATGGGATAAAAGGGTGGCTATGGAGATACATTCAAACGACCCATATTTCAAATGGAAGATGCAACCCAAAAGACTAAAACAAATATATAGTCAAGCGAATCAAATCATAACAATGAACATCAATGCCCATCCGAGGTCTTTAAAAAACGTCGTTCCAATACAGAAAGGAATTGTCAATCAGTGTACAAATAGTCGTCAATTATCTGGCAAGAAATAAAGTCAAGAAAGTGTAAAATAGAAACAACTATAACACCCCGGTAGTTGTCCCGTGTTATAACCCATTGATGTTTCCAGAAAAATCAACCGGCTTTACCAAACCAGGCGGACTGGAAGGGATACCACAGGAAACAGTATCAGTAGTGGTAGTAAAAATGATTAAGTACATACGATATTCTTCAAAAAGATTTTAGTTAATAAATGTACAGTTTACTCAAGACTCAGAAGGAACATAATTTCATATGACATTATCACCAAAGAGCAACTAAACAATAATAATTCAATCAAATTACGTTTTTATCCAAAGTTTAATTCCAAACTTTGATGCAACCAAACATATTTTAAGTACACAGACACAAGATTAATTTTGTAGATTGTAAGCAAGACAAGTAACGGGGGTTTCCCCGCGTGGGTCCGAATCCCATCCCCATCGCTAATTGTTATAACTTGTGACCGCCGATTAGAGGGCAGTGACTTATCGATCGGACCAAGGACGCGTAAACACATGCGAGCAGCCTAGAGTTCTGATTGGTTCTGCTTTCCGCCTAGCCCAGCCAGTTAAGTCCAGAACACCAATCCGAGCTTCTGCGATATAAATCATTATATTTCAAACATACTGAGTTTATATACCAATCAAACAGACCACAACGTACCAATAAAATATGAAACAACGTTTGTACAAGATTTAGCCAGATGTGGCTGTGAACGAGGGAGGTAGTAATTAATATATTGGGTATAACTCAAGAATGGTAAAACGTATAATAATAGTTTATGGTGAAAATAAAGCTTATAATAAGGGGGAATATGAATATGCATAGTTTAGTTACTTAATAATTATACAATAGAAATATACGTTTAGTATTGGTCCATAAATGGATCCCAAAAGTTACAATTCATTATTCTTGTCGGGACATAACACAGAACAATTTAAAAAGAAGCTTGATACGAAATAGCTACAATTTGTAAATTAAGCACCAAACTGAATGCTTGAACACCGATTACCATGACGCGCAATGCTGACTAGTGTTGGAGACGGTTGGAAGAATGTTAAGGTCGATCAAATCAAAATGGGGGATCAGTGCTTGAAGTCACTAACTACTATTCTAATAGATACAAACTACTTGGTTGGGGTCCGCACGACTATTGTAGCTAATGGTTGAAGACTCTGAGTGATATGGCTCAGAATCGATCACAATGGTGTAGGCGTATACACTCTCTGTCTTCCCTTATACTATGATACTATGAGATTAAGATCGCTTCATGTCTTTCTTTCTACGAACTATATCCTTAAATGCAATCTTTCTTTTATATATTAACACCATTGAATTAACTACTTCAATGAATTTGGTGTTCATCTTGTAGTGCTAATGAGGTATGGCAACTTGGACCGATACATATATGTGTCTGATTTCACGTTGTTGCTGACTGGCTGATTATTTTTAACTACGATAAACCTTTATCATAAACAGTACATATACATTTTTTTGAAAATCAATTAATCAACTAAACATCACCAAATGATTTAATAAATAATATCAAACTCTTAAAGTAATTAAGCATTACAAAAAACTAATTAATTAATTTCAAAAGGAATTTTTATGGATATTATAATAATTCCAATCGTTGAGTTCATGAGTCAGTTGAAGCTAGACCACTATGAAAAACCTGAAAACACTGGAGAGCCGTTTCGTCCTATTGTGGGACTACTCAACAATGCGCATCTACGACCTCACCTCGCGAGATTCAAACCGAGGTCTAGTGATTAACCGTTCGCTCACAAGACGGATAGGTCCTAGATTCGAATCTCGCGAAGAGGGATTGTAGATGCTGAGTCCCACAATGGGATGAAACAGTCATCCAGATTTTCCGTAGTTGTTTAGCTTCAATTGACTTATGATCTCAACTATTAAAATTAATTATGTATATATATACATATATAGTATTTACCTTTGCCTAAATGTGTATTAATACTCATATAACGTGCAGTACCAGTAAGACTTTTATGTTCACGATAAGGAATGTGTTTTTGAGTTTCTGGATCAATATATTCTTTAGCTAAACCAAAATCAATGATATATATAGTACGATGTCTATTATAATATTGACGTCCAATAAGAAAATTCTCTGGTTTAACATCACGATATATTAAATGCTTTGAATGTACATATTCAATACGTCGAAGCTAAATGAGTTTTAAGAAAAAAGAGAGAGAAAAACAACAATAATAATAATAGTAATAATAATGACCGTAAAGAGAATGAAAAGAAGAAAAAAAAAAGTAGGAAGTAGGACCAATTGAGTAATAAATAAAATTGAAGTTCATTTACTAGATTCTTTCCATATATAAATACATAAATTATTAGTTAGTTAGTATAATTATAGAACAACTTAAATGCCAAAAAATAAGACTGATACAAAAAATGTTTGATTTTTTGGAAATAGAAACTATGTACAAGTAAATCATATAAATATTTTTTTTACTAAACATAGTGTATACCATTTTACAAACTGTACAGTATTTCAGATATATTCACTCAATGAAACCTAAAGACTCTTAGTAAATTGGTCAGCTTAGTTCATGTTAAGTTTGGCACAAGCATCAGTCAGTAACAACCTAGAACTTCGTACGTACGTACATCAGTTCGAGTTGCCATACCATATTACCGCAGAGACACAATTATCCATTCAAATCCCATAGTGGTAGAGGTAATAAAAGTACAAACAGTAATCGTGAAGATTAGATTTTGAAGATGTTATTCAAGGAGTATAATCCAGTGAAGTAAATTTGGAAAGAGAACAAGGGACACGAAGAATTCAGAAAATTAAGATTTCGGAGAACACAAAGAGTGGATGCAGCTGCGCCATTTTGAGCCATATCATTCAAGGTATCTAACCATCGGTTGCATCGTCTCGCCGACTTAAACCAGGCATTCTACACCTACTAACATGGCTCAGTTCACTTGTCAGTAACTTCATGGATTTGTGTCATGTTTTGATTTGGCCGCCCCTAGCTTTCTTCGAACCTACTCCTACAACATAAAACACCGCATTTTGGGGCAGTCAGTGGTTGGGCATACGTAACACGTGTCCCAGCCATCTCAACTGATGAAGTTTCACTACTTCATCAATTGATTTGCTATCCTTACCTAGTACCCGTTTCCTAACAACTGCATTACTTACTCGATGGTCCCAGGATATACGAGCAATATTTCGAAGACACCTATGATTGAATACTAGTAATCTATGAATATCCTCTACTCTTACCGGCCATGCTTCAGTGCCATAAAGTAGGACGGAACGAACTGCTGCGCAGTAAACACGTCCTTTGGTTGATAGACGGATATCTCGCCTACGCCATAAATGACGCAAGTTGGCAAAAGCTAGTCGAGCCTTCTGTATCCGTGCTGAGATTTCGTCACACCAGACCACAAGGGCTGATGAGACTCCCAAGATAAGTGAAGCGATCGACACGCTCAATTACTTTACTCCCTGTCATTAGTTCGGGTGTCGATGCAACCCAATCCTGAAGCAACATTTTGCATTTCGAGGGGAGAATCGCATCCCGAACATGCTTGCATTGTTGCTCAGAGTGGTCAGAAGACTGCATTTTGTCAGCGTCTTCGCCAAATAAAACTATGTCATCGGCATATTCTAAGTCAACAAGTGAACCTCCCGGTAGAAGTTCAACCCCTGGAAATTTAGATGATGAAAGTGTTATCTCTAAAAGTACGTCGACGACAAAGTTGAACAAGAATGGGGAGAGTGGACAACCCTGACGAACACCACTTGAGGTAATCAATTCTGATGACAGTTCGCCATAAGCTCTCACTTGACCAGTTGTGTTCGAGTAGAGAGCCTGAATAAGGTTGATGTACTTCTTTGGTACTCCTTTCAGTGACAAACACTGCCATAGAACCTTACGATCAACAAAGTCGAATGCCGCCTTAAGGTCGAGAAACACTACCATTGTGGGTCGTCTGAACGTGTGTCTGTGTTCTAGAACCTGACGTAGTGTGAATATTTGGTCTATACAACCACGTCCAGGTCGAAAACCAGCCTGATTTTCTCTAGTCTGTTCTTCACGAGCTTTGGTTAGGCGTCGAAGTATTATTGAAGCTAATATTTTAGACACTATATTAGTCAAACTGATTCCTATGTGATTGTCACAACAGGACTTTTGTCCTTTCTTATAGACTGGCACAATCAGTGATTGAGACCAGTCAGATGGGATTACGTCCAGTTCCCAAATTCTACCTAAGACCTCAGTTAATCTCACTGCTAATACTGAACCACCATCCTTAAAAATCTCAGGAGTAAATCTGTCAAGGCCTGCTGCTCTCCCTCGCTTCAGATTTCCTATAGCTTTTTCAACTTCGTAAAGAGACGGATGACCTACATAAACTTTCCACTCAGGCTGACTGGAGATCGTGGGAAACCGAAGTGTGGCTGAAGGCCAGTTGAACTGATCCCTGAAGTGTTCTGCCCATCGATCCAATCTCCTGGATTGAAAATGTATAATATGTCCATCTTTTTCTGAGAGTGTTTCGCTAACAGTCGGGTTCCTAATACCGGTTTCTTTAACAAGTCTGAACAATTGTCTGCTATTACCTATTGCCGCTGCCTTCTCCATCTCTCTAGCTTTCGCTACCCACCACTGTTCACGATCATTGCGTAGACTTCTTGTCAGCTTGCGTTTAAGCTGACTTTGCTCTTCATTATGTTCAGAGCCAGGTGGAATGAATTTCCGAGCATCTATCAGTGCGATAGATGCTGCTGAGATCCAGTGTTTCTCCCTAACCTTGTGGTTTACCTTACTAGCAGATATCATTGCTGTTTCCACAGCTTTTCGGATATGATTCCATGCTGCCTCGGGGTGGGCATCACCTACATGGCTGCCTAACCGTTTTCCTAGTTGTTCCTGAAATATACTCTTTGCTTGACTATCATTAAGTAGGGCCCTAAGAGGTTTACCTGAGCGTCTTTCCTGCGTCCAGTAAGACGCAGACAGATACGTGCTCGTACTAGAGCATAATCTGAATCTAAGCATGTGCTCCAGGATGAGCGACAGTCTTCTATCGAGCCTCTCTATCGGTGGCTGATAGCGATGTGATCTATTTGGGTCCAACGCTGGGACGAATTAGGGGGTCGCCATGTTAAAAGATGTTTTTCCTTATGCTTGAAGTTAGTATTTGCAAGAAAGAGGTGGTTATCTGAGCATAGCTGCAACAGACGGTCACCATTATCTGTTCTTTGAGCCACGATGCTATAAGATCCACCCAGGTGTCTTTCCCTATCGCTTAGTTTACCTACTTGAGCATTAAAGTCACCGGCCACTATTACTACATCCGAGCGCCTAGCTTTTAGGAGGTCGGAGAGCTTTCTGTAAAACTCATCTTTTACATCATCTGCGCTGCAGTCAGTTGGAGAATAGGTAGAGACGACGAAGAGGCAACGACGAGTGTCCCTGTCTTTTCGGATCCTTACTGTTCCGTTCAGTCGGACAGCGCACAAACGACTGTCTACTGGGATCCACTCTAAGATAGCTAGTTCTGCCCTAAGACTCAATGCTATACCTACGCCAGCGAGGCCACGGGAAGCAGAATCAGGGCTTCCAGATACACGAAGTGTGAATCGAGTCAGTTCTTTATTTTGGCATAGTGAGGTCAGATGAACGACGCTACTCGGATCCTGTATGCGCGTTTCGGAGACGCAGCACACATCGATGGCGCGGGATTCATAAGTCTTAGCTAAGGAAGCCTGCGTACTCGAACCGTTTGCCCTAGCGGTGCGAGGTGATAAAGAGACGTGAGGAGGGTTAGTCATGGAGATAAGAGAGGTATTAGGAGGTGTAGGAAGGATTTGAATGTGACCAACTTGGTCTCGTGTGCTGTTACGGGTATGAGGGCTGATATCACTTCCCGGCTGCCCACACCGTTGAAGGGTATTTCTTGAGGAACCTGAAAAAGTCGGATTAGTGTTGGTCTTAACGACCTGGGAGCGTGACCGCAGAGCCCAAGGGACAACTGTTTGAGGCCGGTCGCGCACGGTCTTTTCGTGGAAGGTTTTGAATGTGTTAGCTCTGTTCTTCAAAGAGTCTTGCCGCCGGAGACGGAAATCCGTGAGGTAAGGTGAGGTGTGACATTTTTAGGGTCGACCTTTTCTAACCCCACCCCTCCTTGTGGGAAAGCAGCATCACTGCATATGCTGGTTGTCCGAGGGAAACACCTTACTGCTGTCACACCCCTCTACAGTCAGCAGTACGACTTCGCCCTCAGACCTTGAGTTGCTGCTTTTAGTCTTACCGTTCTCCAATCGACCTGCCTGGCATGGTAGAACCTACAGGAACATATGTTCCAGCCAATATAGCTCGGTTGGGTCATCACGATAGGCAAGCCCGACCACCGCGTCAAGGTAGCAGCTTCGGTCGGGAAGAAGTTGAGTAAGCTTATAAAGTCATTGACCGTTGGATCAAGTTCTTCTGACAAATCCGAAATAAGAGGTTGAAAATAACTAATGACATGGCTTAGATTCGTCCATTAGAGCAGATACACTACTCTTTGTATTCTTCTAAATCTTGAGCTCCCATTTTATTTCGTACTTTTTAGAAATGACAAGACAATCTATGTATAAATAAATTCTAAAACAACAAAATGGTAAGCATACCAGCTGGATTGCAATCATCAGTACAGTTTTCAAAGAGAACTGACGTTTACATGATTCAAATAGATCTTCTAAAGATGGACCAAGCAATTCCATTACAAGCGCATTATGTCGGCCTACTGGTCCAAAATAATAAACCATTGGAAATCCAACAACACCACCACTTAGAAGTATACGATAAAATCGATACTCTAAATGCAATTGAGGAGCACGAGTTTTCATCGGTTCAAGTTTAATGGCAACATATTCATTGGTATACAAATTACGACCTAAACAAAAGTTTCGAACAAAAACGTCAAAAATGAAAATAACAATTACTTTGATGATCTTACAGGATAATAATTTACAACAAACTTTAAACAAACATTGTTAAAAATCTTTTTTCTTCAAAGAATGCTAGTGTAATATTTTCCATTAATTAAGGTCACTTGTAGTTCTGTGATGTGTGCGACTGATGTCGACAAATATAATTAGTATGTACCACCATTCGAAAGTGGAATGCTTGGTGGCAGAAGGTTGAGAAAACCGAAGAGGAAAGACCAAGAACAGAGAGTGGTTGAGATGGAAATGAAGAAACAACAAAGTTGGAGACAATTGATGGATACTTTGCAAATGAAGCATTTACTGTATGGTTCTTAGATTTTACTAAGATATACTGTAATCTTAGATTAAAATACATTTGGTTGTCCCCACTGGTATTCTCGTTCACTACAGTTACACTTCATAAACAAAAATTACATTAAATCCTTTTGAAGAATTAATTCCTTAATTGTATTAAAAGCTTGGGAGAAAATGTAAACGAAGTTAAATCGTACTTAACAATCGATAAAATTAATAAGGTTACATCATCAAATATGACATGATTTACTAAAGTAAATTCTTCCACATCTTTTTCTTTTCTTAAACAGTGTCATTTGCAATATTGTCTAATAAAGGTTCATCATAACAACAATGTATTGATATGAAACTTGGAAAGATATTATCAAATTTATTTACTTAAACGGCAATCCTTAATTTGTCAGCAATTAGTATATGATAACGCCTCCTGGGGCCCCTTTGGAGCTACTGTCGGTCCCAAGCCCAGATAAAGGAGGAGGATTGGGCATGGGGCTAGCGACCCCATCCCGTAGAAAACTAGCTCACTAAAAAAACGCTAACCAGAGAAACTATAGTATATGATAATAGAGCTATAGAAGTATTACAAATAAACAATGCAAAAAAATATCAGATTTTATATGAAATAGATAAAATGAATAAAGATCTACACATATTATAGTCAATTTTTAATTGATTATTTTTACAAAACTATGTGTGGTGCATGCTACTTATATTAACAGGTACAAGTAGTATGTAAACGCAATCGGATGTAGTGCCTGACAAAAGAAGATTGGATTGAAGAGAAAAGAAAGGAAGTTGAAAAGTAATCAAAATAACGACAGAATTAGAGGAATAATAGAATGTGTAAAGGTCAAATAATGGAAGATGTGCAAATGATGTACTTAATATATGATTCTCATATTTTACTAAGCCATTGTGTAATTCTTGCACTCAACAACATATTGGTTTTCCCCACCCGAATTCTAATTGACTACATATGTATAAGAATAATTTTTGCTTGTCTCATCTACAACGCAAAAAAACCAGTTCAGTTCTGCAGTATATTCAGTAAATAACTGCACTACAAGGCAAGAATACGCATAACAGTCCAAAAACTAAACTAAGACAAATACTGGGTTTTGCCATAACATGAACCTTTCGGCTAGAATACCTACTCAAAATACGTTTATTAGAATTGATACTTCCTTTTGTCGAATACAAATATACAAATTATGTACAGAAAGGATTAATATCTTAGATAAATGTGAAGAATAAGGTACTGACCAAGACGAAGTTCCCCAAAGTTCCCACAACCAATCTTCTTTCCAACACGGAAATTTGGACCGACCAGCAGCGTATTTCCTTCCCGTGAAGAACGTGGTGCATCTTGTTGCATATTATTCTGCTTTCCTGAATGTTGACGTTCTTCTTTTTTCTGAGAAGTTGTACCAGACCCTCGATGACCTCGGTTACTAGTAGAGGTCTGGTTGGTTTGCTGTGTTAACATTCCACTCTCAGAATCAAAATGCAGATCCCGTGCATTTGAGTAACAACTGGTTGGTCATATTTTTTTAACATACACCAATAGAAAACTAAAATGGTAAGAAAATGAATTTGGAATTATTCAAACGATCATAAAGATTTAGACAGTTGGTTAACTTGGGGAAACGATGAATTGACCCACAAAAATACTTGAAAAAAGGCATGAAAAAAGCTGGTAACGAGGATTCAAACATGACCAGTAAATAACCAGTCCTCCAGCAAAAAGTAAATCCAGATAGTTCTACGACCCACAAAGGTATGTAAGCCCCGGATTATTTTTGGTGTCATGTCTTAATAGAATTACTCCTTATTTCTATCGTTACTTTGCAAATCAACGGTGTTTTACCCCGCCTTAATAGTAAAAACTAAGACAAAATATCTTATTTGAAGCAAGTCTAGTCGTCTTTGATAATTCTCTCCATTAGATTAGGTAAGCTGTAGTCAGTATATTCATATGACTGATCTGAAAATAAATACAATATAACTTATGGGGGGATATTTCCCCGTTGTTGATAATTTGGAATTACAATTAATCAGCCTCTATTAGCAAATGTCCATCCTAAGCGGATGCCATGATAATGACTTTTCGTTACAAACTTCTAGATCTGAATAATAGCTAAGAGTGAAACCCAGGACGATCATATCATCTCACTTGGAACTCGTCAACCGAACCGGCCTGTATCTCAGCAAATGTTGGGAAACCTAGGTAGTATGGCTCATATTTTACCATTGTTATTATTCAAACACACAAACACTGGTACAAAAGAACACCAAAAATCCTCATACAATAAAAATGAGACTGTAAGGAGATAAAGGAAGGTGAGTATAATGACAAAAAAGGACAAAAATGAATAATAGTGATGATAATAATAATAATGAAAATAGTAATGGGAGAAGCAATTCAGCTAAGAAAACTATGAACAGAAAGAATTCCTTCAGCTAAAGAAGTTGCTCTCACTTTTATGAAAGCAAAATAAATTTGCAGTAGGGTCGCCACTGGCTTATGTTCTGAGTCATGTCTGGTGTATAGGGCCACTGTGTTGCACTATCAGACCCCAACCAAGTAGTCGTGAAGGACCAGTGGAAGCCAGTCCCGTACAGCTTGCTTTCATACCGCGACACTATACTAAAAGCTGACCGTTCCTCCGCTTTTTTCAAGCAGTTTGAGTCGGCAAGTAATTCAAAATGTAGAATTTGCAGGGACGACATCGTAGCACATGTCCAAGCCATAGAAGAAGGCGTATCAAGATGGTAATGCCAACCGAATTATCGTCACTGAATGTACGTTGTCGAACCCCCTCATTGCCAACATGGTGTTGCCACTGGATGTCAGCAAGCCTTCGAAGACAATGAAGATTAAACACAAAGAATCACTTAACATGTTCGACTCGGCTACGTTTCACAAGCATACAGCAAGATTACTCTCACCGACGCGTTGTAGGTCCGACCTTTTACAACCAGACCAACATCACGAAGACGCTAAAGATGACCCAGATTGGAAAAAAGCGCTCCGGCTTTCACTATACGTAAATTGATCCTATCACTCACGCCACCACCAGCACATACACAACTTCCCCGATACATGAACTTCCCGACTACTTCTATTTGCTCACTACCTAGAATGTGTGCAGGCATAGGGTCCTACCACTCCCGTAAAAGTACTTTGAACTTAGGTGCGAAGTACTTGGGTATCGTCAAGCAATAAGACGATATCATCCGCATATTTAAGGTCGAAAAGTTTTTCTCCAAGTAATAGGTGCACACCATAATTACCTACATCCGTCAGAACCATCTTTAGAACGTCATAGATGGCAAATTTGAAGAGGAATGGCGAGATTGGGCAACCCTAACTAACCCTACTGTTTGGATTCAATAATAGAGAGAGGTATTTGCAAGCCCTCACTATACGTGAGGTATTTGTACATAAGGCTCTTAAGATGTTAATGAGCTGTTCAGGCACACCATCCAATAGACAATCCTAGACAACAATCCTGTCCAGAGAGTTGAATGAGGACTTTTTGTCAAGAAACATAAATTATTGGCACGCAGTAAGTATGAAGATGTTATAGCATTTGGTGGAGGGTGAAGATATGATCAACATATCCTCCACTAGCCTACTCTTGGTTTTCGGTCAGAAGTATTAGTATATCTCCCACTAAATTTGTGGGTGTAGTAATACATTTTATTTTGTTTTTCTAACCCTTCCCTCTGAATTATTTATTCGGTATGCTATTTTTAACACCTGAATTGATATTTTTCATTTATTTGTTTTTACCCTTGTTAATATCCTACCCTTATGTTAAAATTAAGTGGGGAAACTTGAGTCCCGACTCCTGTTGTTTACCTATGAATGATAAAGATGGGGAATATTTGTCGGTTGTACTCAAATAGACAGCTAATAAATCAACTCCGTCGGATGTCTAACAAACTCATCATCAATTATGAAATGATTTGACTAAAGGTACATTTCAACCCTTGACAGCTAACTGATCATTAGTCAGACGAAGGTGCATCTACTTCCTTCAATATGGCATTTCTTCAACTTGTTAATTTATCTTGCTTATGATGTTAAACTTTCAATTGTTTGGAATTGTGTCCTTCGAATCAAATAATATTGAAAAGGAACGTGATATTTTGTCCTACTCTAATTTAGAATGGTCGCAAGTCCGGTTATTATATTTGAAATGTTTCTCGTAAACCAGGTTTGGTGGAGTAGTACTAGTAGAGTTTTACAGGAAAAACGGTTTTGCTGGTTAACTTTAATAATAAAGTAGTACTAAAGTTCCGAATCAGCATAGCATGCTTTCTAGAAGTAAATTTTATCTAAATTCCTTAGAACACGCTTTTGATTAAATTAGTTTAAACCACGTGAACATATACAGTTCAACTATTTCAAGATTATGGTATACCGTGAACTCGATTTCAGCAGAAGACAATGGTGAGGTTCAGTCAGTCAGCTACAGAACCTGTACGTATATACGTCGGTTCAAGTTTCAACAGTCCATTAGCACAGAGAGACGTCAGGTAAAATCCCAGAATGGTAGAGGTAATAACATTATCAGTGGTAATAAAAAAGATTAGGTGTCAAAGATATAATCTGAAAAGAAAATATAAATTAGTGGGATGAGAACCAAAAAGAGATACGAGGAATTTGAAATCTCAGAATTTGAAGGAAGACAAAGAATGAATGCACTTGTGGCAGTGCAAGCGATTTTGAGACATTCGATTCAAAGTCTCTAATCATTGGCTACAATTATTCACAACAATCTACCTAATGCTCAATCTGAAACTATCAAGTCAAGCCTTGGTAATGACACCCACATTAATTACAATAATCACGCGGTCCCAAACCAAGTAATCTATGCCTATTAACAAGGCTAAATCCAATAGCAAAGATTCTATCTAATAACGAAAATGAAGGCCAGTAAATGTACAACAGACTAAGCTACACTGAAAAAATAACCAGTAGTCATCTCCATTGCCCCCGAATGCCGTGGTACGGCTGAGTGGGGAGAGTCCACTCTCCCTCTCGAAATGCTTCTCACATGGCCACGTGTATATAGCCTCTGCCAGGGAAGTCCTACTCACTGCCTTCTCGCACCACGGTGTTGTTTACGAAATTGAGAGAACGGAAAGCGAATGTCCGGTGCTCAAACCGGGTTCGTGGACACGGAGAGTCCACCTAAAGGAGTTGGAAAACCCTCATTTTAAACCAATGGTGCGCATGGACTCCAGGATCCTGAAGTAACAAGTGCTTTATGAACCAATTATTTGTCACCGGCTACCATGAGACAGCATCTCCTTATGTTATCTTACTGCGTTGTGGATCAGACGTTGAGGTCAAAGGCTGTGGGTGTAGGCCCCTGAGAAAACCACCTGCTTCGGTTTGGGCACCCAGGCAGTATCACAGCCCTCACGCATATCAAATGAGATGTGTGGCGCATATGTACTTGGTGCCTCCTTGTACCAATATCTGTGTTAAAATAAATAAATAAAAAGTCATCTTCATTACTAACGGTAAACTAGACTCCAACAGTGCAGAAATGATATGTATATTGTGTTTAGTATCTGACTCCGGTTTGATCGGACAAAGATGCTATGAACGCAAATCTCTCCTTTAACTCCATATATTACCTAGGCTAACCCCATCTGTGACAGCGGCAAAAAGAAGTCAAATACGAGTGAAGTCGGAGAAACCCATTTTAGTCATTCGTTTATCCAGACAGATATTCAGAATAAGAAGAGAGAGCAAAGCGAAACAAAATGACGCGTAGCGGAGAGGGCCAGTGAGCCAACTCGATTTATTCAAGCGTATCTTGATGTTTATGGTTAAACAAAAATAAGTTACAGATACATGATGAATAGGGTAAGTAGTTAACACACATACCATAACACAAAAAGGTAAATAATCGATTAAGTGACAAGGTAAAAATGTGACATGAGAAGAATGAATAAATTGTTCTGTCCAAGAGTTAAATAGCCTGTGTGGGTTTGACACAGCACCAACCACTACATGCACGCTTAAGTAATAGACTGAAGTGGATGCTGAGGCAAACATTTACAGAGGAAACCCAGATTTTTAATCTGGGTACATCAGTAGCTAATATGGCTTGTTCATTAAATCCATGTCTAGGCACTTGCATTTAAGACACACTGAGCAGGATAATGATGGCAAATGATTCCTAAAATCGAAGTATTTAGGACCGAACTGAAACCCCAATAAATCATTGATCCACATCAACGTGGATCCAAATAAACAAAGGACGCTGATTCCCTGTAGAATAATAAAATTATCCTCTTATTACTATGTTGCTAACAAATCAAACGGTACGTGACCCACTTTATTTACTGATTCAAGTTAAAACGCTGAAAAGGAACCAAAAAATAAGAAATTCGCATTGTGGAGAAAAAATCATTGACGCAATTCTCGCTATTTTACTAGAAATGGTGGTATAATAATCCACG